AGGCGGGAAGTTGGTCGGCCGCAATATAGATAGGGTCTCGCCGGGATCTCTTCTAGTGAGATGCTTTGGGCTGTATTAGATCCAAAAAGTTCGTTAAACCTTGAATTCTGTGAGGTGAGGTGTTATCACTTTTTGAAAGGTGATAACGACCGGTAACATGCAAAAGGTTGGAACAGGGACTGAAAAGTAGGTAGGCAGAGTTTGACATAATTCAGTGAGGCTCGGCTGGGGTCGACAATAGCCAATACCACCTCGGAAAATGTCAATATCAGCCGAGTATTCTTGACAGATTTTGACATTGGCCGAAAGACTTTGATTTTTCCTTCCCCCCATCACATAAAATCTTGAATTGTAGGCTGATTGTTGACATTTTCAGACAAAGCTATAGACAAATGAGACACGAGTGATACAGAGGGATCCTACTGGTGACAGCGGGTGGTTGTAATGGACAAACAGGATAGATAATAGACTAACTAGTGGTAACCCATGTGAGTCCCTATAGCTAGTACATTATTTCCTCCCCTAGTCTGTAGAAACCAAGCACTTCAACCAATAGGATCGTTCCATACTCCCTATGTCTTCTTTGTCCATCGCTTCACTGGAAAAAAAGTACGGTAGCTTTTACCATACTCTGACACAGTAATCCGAGTATGGTAGTGCGAACACTTGACTCTATGCTAGAATTCACCATATTATGGTAAGCATCTCCTGAGTTCTGGTGAATACTGCTATAACTCTAGTTATTTTCACTGAATATCATCACGGCGTAAAACATCAAAAAGGCCTGCACTGCAAAAAAAAAAAAAAAAAAACACATTGGATCTAGAGTCCAGACTCTTAAAAACATCGACAAGAAAAGATACTCTTGATTCAATCGGATTTTTGCTTAAGTCAAGAACCAAGCCTCTTCATTTGAGCGGATTTCCTTTTGATTAAAGCTTAAATCTGATTGAATCAAGAGTCCTTTTTCTTGTCAATGTTTTCAAGGGTCTGGACTCTAGATCTAATGTGTTTTTTTCCAGTGTATATTGGATCTGTCCATACTTTTTTTCCGTGTTTGCCCATCAATTCCAACAATGAGCCCGATGTGGATGAACATAAATTTACGGAGAATTCAACGAATTCTGAATACACTTTGCAGCTACGGGTCGAGGGCTCGTTTCACACCTGAGCCACTGCAGAAAAGAATCTAATTCGCAAATAGGCAAGTCGAGATATCATCTCGGCTCACAAAGACGGGGCAAGGAGAAGGGAGGCGGGCGGATTGAGAATTTCCCGACTTGCACAGAAGTATTTGCGAGTCAATTTTATGGAAAATGCATGAGACTCCCGGCTCCTCCCTCATTGACCACTGGGTGAAACTTCCCGCGATTAAAGTTCCTCGAGTCGAAATAAAGAACCTGAATTATGGGGGCTGCCTACCGAGCACGGCGCATATTTCATTCATATTTCACTCGATTTGAATTTCCCCAGCGAGCGCGAAGGCGTGCTTTCAACTTTCTGATATTCTATTCACACAAATTACCCCTGTTGTACTTGTTTTTTCTCGCCTTGTACGCTCCGATCGTCTTGAGACCGACTCCGACCGAATGTTTCCTCCTCCCCTCCGGATCTACCCTTGGTCCCGGGTTCGGTGCGGCGTTTCGGGTCGGCCACATCCAAATGAAATTCTCGCCCTTTCTGTTTTTCCCCGGTGATATGGGGCGGTTGGAATGGCCTGCTGAGGGGTTCTACAATGCTGCGATTGGAGAGTGATTCCCCTCGACATTTGAGGTTACCCAATTGTGTCCGGACGGAACTAAAAATAAGTTCGTTTAGAATTATTGGTGAATGCTTAATAGACATATAGTTGACTGATAAACAGAAAGATTTTCACACATAAGTATGGTTAGTACGGGAAGTAAAACACATGATAACCCTGGCCATCGGATGAAAATTATTTCAATAAATAAAACCGATTACGGTGTGATTCCTCCACGGTACCGAGACGTTTCGATTCATAACCGAGTCATTTTCAGTCGGAAATACAATACAATTTTTTGAAAAAATGATGAAACCCTGAGCCCAACATGGTGGTGGCCGGGATCCGAGAAAAAGAGACAAAAAGAGAACACATTTTACCATTTGTATTGTATTTCCGACTGAAAATGACTCGGCTGGGAGTCGAAACGTCTCAGTGTTTATTAATTGTGTAGTTTAGCCTTGTTTCCCGTTTCTCCCCTTATTTTTCCACTGTTCTCATTGTCTCGGGCTGCTCTTAAAAATTTGTATCTATGGAACTTTATAAATAGATTATGTAAGGGAATCGCACACCCCCACGGCTACACTTAGGAGTTTATCACGAAAAGCTCGAATTGCCGTACTTTTTCCGTCATTCCGTGTCGACTTTCCGAAATCCGTGCTTCTTCGGTGTATTCCTTGCTTTTTCAGTACCTTTTCCTTGCTTTTTCCTTTCCCGAAAATTCATTTTTAAGGCAATTCTCGAGAATCCTCGCTTTCTCTTTACCTTTTCCTACCTTACCTCACAAACATTTTTAACTGTATTCGATTTGAAAAGCGAAATGACGGAATGACAAAGAAATAAACCGAAAAACGAGAGGAATCGACCCGGGAACATTATAGATGGATTAGGAAATCGCATACACTTACGAGTTTATCACGAAAAGCTCGAATTGCCGTACTTTTCCCGTGATTTCGTGCCGACTTTCCGAAATCGATGCTTCTTCAGTGTATCCGTACTTTTTCCGTGCTGTAGACACCCTGTCACCCACCCCGCGAAGCCCAGTCTTGCCAACTTAGAGGGTGACCACCACCCTGGCGCGGCCGGCGGGTCCGAAAGACGCTGCGTAAGACTCGGCGGGTCC